CTGTAAATCAAATTGGTGAAGAGAACCCTTGTGGAAGAGATATGTGAAAATCCATGAGTTACAACCTGTGTTAAAGGAGTTTTTGGCCAGAACTCCGGCCTGGCTTGCTCTGTGACGGATCTGTTGGGCACCTTCAGTCTCAAGAAAATGCACTTCATGTTACAGTCCTTATTTTTCCTTTTTCAGTTTTTCCCTTTGTGTTTGTGGAGCTGCGATGGTCACTGCTTTGTGTGGGGATGCTTTGTCGGAGAATGCTGCGCAGGTGTTTGTGAAATGAAGCTTGGCCCCTGAAAACCTCAGGTAAAAAACTGCGACTACAATTTACCTGCTCTTTTAGAACGGGTCAAGACAGAACCATGTTCTTTTTTTACAAGGAAAAACATGATGGTTTGCAAAATTCTTCAGGATTTACATATAACCCACACATGCACTTCTTTGATGACAGACGCTAGAATTGGACGTTACCGGTACAGTGTGGGAATGGTCATCACTTTTACTTTGCTGCAGTAACTGTGTTTTTAAACATTCTCTTTGAAGCCAGCATGTCTCGAGAGACTGGCAGTGAAGCGCAGCAGTCGCAGAGTGGTCCCAGTTCCTCTTCCAGTGGGTCACAGAGCACCAGTCAGTCTTCCTCGAGTTCTGGGACCCTCAGTTCTTTGGACACTGTTCCCACTCAGGAGCTTCCACCAATCCCGGAGGACCAAGAATCTGAAGAGCTTGTTTCTCAGCCCTGGGGTCGACTCTTTGCACTTGGAAAAGGTTTCAGCAACTGTGGTATGTGCATACTGTAACAAGCCTCCTAGTTCGTTTGTAAGTACCTCCGAAAAGTCTGGAGCAGCATCTTTTAATTTTCAAATTAAGTACAAACAAATTTAAGTCCAGGCTTGCAACTTTTGCGATATTACTTTATTTTGTACTGCATCCAGTGCTTATACTGAGTACCCAGATACATGGCTTCCTTAGACTTGGAGGAGTTCTGGAACATTCACGTTCTTTGTTCCTTGCTTCATTTTTCCATTTCATAATTTATTTGGCTTATATATTGTACGAGTCTCTCTTTATTGCTGAAGGTGAACTGAAAACTCTGATATCACTGAAGAGGGAAAAATTATTAAAATATTGTACAAGGTGCTGATAGTTCATGGTGCCTGTCTGAATTGCGATATAAATTTGATATTATGGGAAGAATCTTGTCTTTATTATCCTACTCAATACCATTTGGCATCATTCTATAGTGCTATATTTAATAATTTCCTGCAATTTTGTCTCTCTGCTTTACTTCCTCTCCTCCACAGACTGTGTGAATGATGAGTACTGGTTTGGAAGAGACAAAAGCTGTGATTATAGTTTTTCTAAGCTAGGATTGTCCGAGACTGGCTTCTACCAGAACTACAGCAAGAAGCATTTCCGAATTTTCAGGGTAGGTGCTAAGAAGGTTAACTGTCATCTTCTATCTTGGTATAATTGAAATAAATTGACTTTGGTGGGAGTGAATCCTAAAGAAATCCAATTTCAGTGCCTTCAGTGCTGACTCCTTTAACAAGACACTTGACAACGTTCCATTAACTTGGTTTATGAAATAACTGAAGTCTGATTTCTGGAGCCAACAATAGTAAATTTCTATAGTCTGTCATGTCTTTACAGTATTTTTTCCCTACTATTATCTTTTCTTTCTCTTTTTCTTTGAGGAAATGGGTCCAAAGAACTCCTATGTTGCCTACATTGAAGACCACAGTGCGAATGGAACTTTTGTTAATAGAGAGCTTGTTGGAAAAGGGAGAAGGCTTCCACTGACTCACAATTCTGAAATTGCACTGTCTGTACAGAATAATAAAGGTAAAATGTACTATACTGTAAGTTGTATCTTCATGTGTCGACCAGGAGAGCATTTCTGCAGTGATTTGAGTATGTTTCTTGCAAGCTGAGCTTCTTCATGAATGCTGTTAAAATACAGCCATGAGTTGATGTTTTAGTACTTGCTTAAAAATTACCTGTATCCACTTCAACCCTAGAAAAAAAAAACCTGAAAAAAAAGAAAATTTAAAAGCAGCTATGTCAGGAACCACCTTACTTGGAGCTTCAACTTTTATAGTTGCTTTCCTATTTTTGAAACACTTTCTGCTTCAGTGGCTATGTATGTAGTGGTGGGAGCAGGGAAAACAGACCAGTCTAGGGAAGTTGCAAAAACCCAGGTGCCTACCAGATGCTAATCCTCTTAAAAATCAGCAGTGTTGGGGATTTGTTTCTTTGTCTTTGCTTTTCAGTGATGTTGTCTTCCTGATTGTCACTTTGTTCCCTGCTGTGATGTTGACATTCTTGCCTATTTTGTGCTTCAACATAGTGTTACTGGATTGAGCACTGTTGTGAAGTTAAGACCAAAGATGTTGCTTTTCAGTAATGAGACCACCTTGCTAACCCATAGCTGATGTCATCTATAGCATCAGCTATCTTTTTAGTATATATTTTATTTTTTTTCTAGCAGGCAGTATTTTCTTAGTTACGTTGTTGACCATAAAAGCTCAGGAAGTATAGCTGTTCATACTGATAAAATGGTCTCTACTCATTTTCCTAGTGTTTGTATTTTCTGACCTTACGGTGGATGATCAGTTGGTATTTCCTAGAGAATTCAGAGAGAAATATATCATGTCAAAGACTTTGGGAAGGTAAGCATTCTTCTTTCTGTAGTGTAAAGTGTTAGTTTTGTTACTGTTTTTACTACCTTGTGCTGGAATTATTACGAGTGTTAATGGAGCCGCTGTTAAAAAAGAAAAAGGAAAAAAACAAAGTGTATGGTAACACCTGAGTAAACCTGTTCTTTACATTTGCTTAAACAGGAATTTTGGCTTTTTTCCTAGAATTGGCTTATGTTTTGTAACCTACCATTACTTGTGAAACCCAGGGTTCTTTTTTTTTCCTCTCAAAGAGAATAAATCTGTAGATCTTTAACAAGTTTTTAAATGTTGTATGTTAATTTACTCAGTTATTGGCAGTAGAAGGAGGAGTTTTTTGTTAGAATATAGCTTTCTACAACATCGCTGTTGAGGCCTTCAGACAGAGGAGAAAGAACTGTTTTCAGGAAGAAGAGGCCATGCTAAGCAAGGGCTATATCTTTATTGCTTGGAAAAAGATGGTCAGTGAAGAACTTAGAGGAGAACAGTTAAGTGGAAACAAATGTAAGGATTACTTTCTGTAATATAATTGCTACTTAGTACAGACAGAGGTGCTGCTGTACCTGATCTGTAGATTCGTACAGCCCGGTGTTGAGAGAAGTCTTCGCGAGGTTCTCCTGTCTTAAGTGCATTGGTGTGATGGAAACGCTGACAGAACTTGTCCTTGACATTCATGGGTACCCTGGGCACTGATTAGTTGCTCTACATACTTAGTCTTGCATTTTTTAATAGAGTGACATCACTTGCTACTGAAATAGACTTCCTGACTATTGAATGCTTCCTGAGAAGGTTTTGAAAACATGGCGTATTCAGAGAGTTAGAAAGTGGCAGCCTCCAATTGCATGTAATCCACCGCTTTCATTTCGTTTGTCTGTACTTGTTACGCAGATTTTTGGACATATTTGCAAGCATTAACATAGCTGTGCTTTTCTGTTAGTGGTGCCTGTGGAGAAGTCAAACTGGCGTTTGAGAAGAGCACTTGTAACAAAGTTGCCGTAAAGATAATCAATAAGCGGAAGTTTATGGCCAGTGGTGTTGCGGAGGCAGTAAGTACCTTTGTCTCTTGGCCATCTTGCAGTGGTCCCAAAATATTTGGTAACCCCTCTAGCTCCCCAGCTCTCTCCTCAAAGAGGGTTTTCTCACTTAGTCTTCTGTATGTAATTTCAAAACACCTTTTGAGCTTACATAATCTATAGAATTCTGCACAAAATGCTTGCTTTTATTCTTTGGTCACATTTCATTATGTTCATAGTTTAGGACCGTTTGTTAATGTGATGTGTACAAAGGGCAGGGGGGAACCTTGTGGGGTTTGTCTCCTACAATGCACCAGATAAGCACATTGTAACTGATGGAGTCTGACTGAAAATGTACAGACTCTGCTAACCATGTTGTATTCTCAATCATAACAGTTCGAATAAAATCATGAGGCCTTTTGGGAAGGGCTTTTCATGTGCCTAGAGTTGTAGCAGAAGCCTGAATTCGAAGGAGAAAACCAAGCCAAGTGGCTTTACTCTAGCGTGAGAAAAAGATCCAAGCAACTTCATTTTTATTACTCTAATTTTAAATAAAGGTATAGGATAAACTTGGAAGAAAAATAAAGTCGGAGGCAAAAGTGCATGGAAGAGTGAGTTATTCCAGTTGTTCTGCTGTGGATTTGTTGTTAAGTTGGATTAATCTCATTGATTTCTTCGATGAGAAAATGGACTTGAGAGCACAGATACAACATATAGAATCTGTTCCAGCTGGCCAAGTATTTGTCAGGTCTGTTGCACTGTGTAGGAAACTACTGCTTGATCTGAAAAAATATTTTTGTAAAGACACAAATTCTAAGGCGGAAAGGTAGCTGGCTGACGAAGGCATGCCAGGAGTCTTCAGTGGGAGCAAATTAGTTACTAGTGGAAGTTTTGAGAATTTGTCTTAATTAGTCAGATGTATTTTTACATTTAGAGATCATGGCGCAAGGAGTGGGAATGTACTAATTCAACTCTCTGACATTGACCCTAAGTCTCTGTTGATGGAAAGGAGGTTTGCAGCATCATGTATGAAGAACTGATACTTTTGTGTGCTGGAGTAATAGACGTTAAATAATGTTGAATAGTACAAATTTGTATATTCAGTATGAAATAATGGCTTTTCGGGTACTCTCTCTTATTTCTGATATGTCTTATTCCAGAGCAGCACTATCTTACCCAATATGATATCTGATTCTTTTACTAGAACCCAGCTTTTAATATCAATACAGAAATTGAAATTTTGAAGAAAATAGATCATGTGAGTGTTACTGTATATTTTTACTCCTTTTTGCTCTCTGTTGTACTTCTGTAGTTATCTGATCAATTTTAGCTCTTTAGAAAATGTTAAATGCATATAGTTTTTCTTGTAAATATATCTAATGAACACTCCTTTTTTCTTCTTTTAAGTAAACCACGTCTTTACAGATTTGAGGCTTTAAAACCTTGAATAAACTGAGAAGTAGTTTCAACATGAACAACTGTTGTAGAAATCTTTCCTTGATACTGCTAGATAACCAAATATAAAGATTAGATTCCACTGGCAAATTTTTGAATTTTTATCCCCTATTTCTCCTGCATCCCTCCCTCTCTTTGCCCGCCGCCCCACAAAAGTAAATTCTTGTACTTCAGTTCAGTAGAAGGTTTGCGTAGCTTAATGAACTTTCTCTTATCAATGCACTATTGCACGCCGAAAAAATATTGAGGGTATGGTATGTCACAACTGTAAAAAACCAAGGATACTTGTTGAGCTGTAGTCACTGCAGGAGTTGAATGTTTCTGTGTGTGGAGGTACAGGAGAGAAGACAACAGACTTGAGAGTCATTTTGCTAAAGTCAGGGGTGCTGGTCGTTTGTGTTAAGTGTTGGATTAGCTGGCATGGTGGAAATCATGCCAAAATAGGAACTTTAGAATGATAAACTGTTGATAATGTTCATTTTTACAATTTTTCTCTAATTTCTACTCTGTGTCCATTTGTGTTCCCTTTTTATTAGCCTTGCTTAATCAAGATCAAAAACTTCTTTGAAGCAGAGGATTATTACATTGTTTTGGAATTGTAAGTAACTTGTTTCAAAGTAAGTGAAATGTGATGTTTGTCGTAGCCACAAAGAATATGTATAGTTCTGAACTTTTTTTTTTCGTTTGTTCTGCTTTTCTTTTGCTGCCTTCCACTCTTCTCTGAAAGCTCTGTAAGATTAGGAGCTAGGATAACCAGAAGTGTAATCCTTCTATGCCTTGAAGCTACTTAGTGCCTGGGTAGTTGCCCGCTGTGCTGCTGTTGTGGATAGCTGCTGCTTTTTTAGTTTGGGCTCATGAGAGGAAGTTGATCATAAACCTTACAGCAACTCCCAGTGAAGACTCGGGAGATCAGGCTTAACTCAGCAGTGCATGTGCTGTGCCTAGGACATTGCTCACCCATTTTCAGAAATATATTCCTTCTCTTTAGCCAAAATAGCCAAATGTTTTGCCTCAGTCTCATGTGATGAATCTTTTGGAAGTAATATATTGACTTGTTACTTGCATTTATTTTAGGATGGAGGGAGGAGAATTGTATGACAGAGTGTCAAGGCCAATCAAGATGAAAGAAGCTACCTGCAAGTTGTATTTTTATCAGATGCTGCTGGCTGTAAAGGTACATACTTTTGAACTCTACCGAGCAAAAATAATGATTATGCATATGAATGTCAGTCAGATGAATTATTTTCTGTCGTTTGTCACTCCCCAAACCTGTGCAAGCAATCAGCACAGCGCTCTTGTTGGTTTTACAAGATTCTTTATCTCAGTGCAACCAAAGAACATTAAAAAAACACTCTTACTTATTTAAAAGAGAGACTAAAATACTAATACAGTCCATGCTTATTGATGGCAGGATTATTATGTGAGACTTTGAGTAGTGCTTGAGCAGAGTCACCAGTGTAGTAGTCTTCAAAAAAATTAGTGATTGGATACCCTACCATGCACTCCTAACTAAGCATTTCAGTTCAGCAGACAACAGAGTAAGACTTCTCTGATAGATTTCAGGTACTGAGTATTGAGTCCTCAGATAAATTGCTTCTAAATTCCTGAAATGGTAAGCTTATTTCATTAGAAACTTCCACAAGATTGTTCTCTACATCAGACTTATCTGATCTGAGTACTCTTTCAGATCATTCGTCTCCTTTTTTCTTTTGACCCAATTTTAATACCTTACAACTGCCAAAAATAGAAACTTAGTAGTTGTTCTGTAGTTGGTATTAATTTATAATAAACACAGAGTATTTTCCTCATTACGGATTAAACTATTACATTTTCCCCCAATTCTCATTTTGGGACAGCAGCTCGTGTAATAAAACACATCATTGCCTTCTACTTCGTAATGATACTGTCTCTTCAGATGCAATAAAGAAAAGCTTCCCTTCAGTGTAAATGTGAAGACGTCTCTAGTACATATTTTGTACACGGACTTCTTTGTATCTTAATGTATCGGTCGTTTATGACTGAGCTTGGATTGTTTGCTGTCAAACGCTCTCCTAACGAGGTGAGCAGTCTGTTCTCAGCTGGAGCCAGTACAACACTGGACGGGAGATTTGCGTGGAGACTTCAGAGCTACGGATAAGGGAATAGTTTTACATATACCTCAAAATTAACTTTTTTCAAAATCCTTCATATATTTAACCTGATGTTGGGGCTTTTTGTTTAGTTTTGGTTTGGGTTCTTGGAGAGAGTCATAAGCTTTGTAGCTTTAAATGCAGGCATGCCTCTGGCACAACCATTTCAGTTATCCCACCACTGCTACATGAAAAGTCAGAAAGCTTACATTTAAAAAAAGTTAATAATCTGTTATTCTTTGATTGTTTATCTGTACACACCTAGTATCTTCATGACAATGGAATTATACACAGAGATCTAAAGCCGGAAAATGTGCTACTTTCTTCTTCTGAAGAGACATGTCTTATAAAGGTTAGGAAACTTACCATTTTTCTTGATGTTTTAGAAATTTGGGAGTATTTTCTTCCCTTCTCAATATTTAGTTAAACATAGAGGAAAAAAAAAGAATTATTCATAGAAACTATGAAGTAACTTAAAATGCAGGTTTTCTTTTTCTTTTGTGCATATTTCAGCCCATACACTTAGCCAAGAATGGCTCTGAAATGTTGTGCTTGTATAGCACTTAATTGAGTACACAACTTCAAATGTCAATATGTTTTTTTTCAATAAAATCAAATTCCTCAATTACAGCATTTCCATAGATACCCAGGGTGTATGGGGACAGTTTTTTTTCTGTTGTTGTTGTGTTTGGGGTTTTTGCGGGGGTTTAGGTTGGAGGTTTTTGGTGGGTGGTATGCAGTTTTGGGTTGGTTTTTTTTCCAGATAAAGCACTAAACAGATTTTTCATGCTAAACTGTTTATTTTTCAAATAAATTCTTATAATGAGCTACAATTTCTTTATTCTGTCGTTACCCATTCATACCCAAATCTGAGAGTACTTTTTGCCAGTGTAAAGTGTGATCCTTTGTCATCTTTCTCCCTATTCCTACTCCTACTCCTGTTCTCAGGTGTTGTTTTATGGAATACTTTGTAATGCTTGGGATAAACTTTGTTCATAGTTCTGTACTGGAACAGACTTGGAAGGAAGAAACTTAATATTACCTCCTGATCTCTGTTGACAATATGACCTGTTCTAGGACAATCAATCCTAATATGTAATGTGATGTTACCATTTCTAAATACAAGATTACAGATTTTGGACAATCCAAGATTCTTGGAGAAACTTCTCTTATGAAAACATTATGTGGTACTCCCACGTATCTTGCTCCTGAGGTTCTAAATTCACTTGGGACTGCTGGATACAGCCGAGCTGTGGACTGCTGGAGTTTAGGAGTTATTCTTTTTGTATGGTAAGAGATTGTGTAGATGCTACCTTCATTGGGCCATCATTTGACATACTTGGCTCGAGACTTGGCAGCTTCAGTATCTCTGTTAGGAAGTGAACATGCTTTTGAAACTACATTCATGTAAAAGTTGCTATGATAGCGGGTGCTTTAAAAGGTGTGATTTTAGTGTTTCATTCACTATGACAAAAATCTGTGTTATTTAACTTGTTTTCTTCTTTTATATAGCTTGTGTGGGTATCCACCATTTAATGAGCAAAATACTCAGCTGTCTCTGAGGGATCAAATCACTCGTGGAGAATACACGTTCATTTCAAAAGAATGGAAGCACGTCTCAGACATGGGTAGGACTCCGTTACCGTGGGTAGCAGAACATCTAGCTATTTTCCTTGTAGTTTTTGTCTTCCTTTAATTCCCTTTCAGCTGTACAGCACATCGCATGTCGATAAGTTTTAGTTTTTAAAGCAGTCACTTAAATGTTTTTTGTGTTGAAGCATTAGGAAGAGCAGATACGTTTTCACTGAAAAGATATCTTAGTAATATTTAGTTTTATTAATTACAGAAGTATAGAGTATGTGGACATATACATCTTCTGTCTTTATCAAGCTGGTCTACAAACTTTGCCTTGCTCAAAGATTCTTCAAGTTCTGAACCAAAATTGACAGGAATTTAAAGGATGTGAGTTAGAATTCCAAGAGAGAAATGCTAAGAGTTATTTCATGGTGCTAGTCTTTGAGCTTAAAATATCAGCCACATTTGTGGAATCAGTTACCCAGTTTGGCCCACTCTAAGCTAAGTAGTCTGCAAAACTATTTCAATTTTTGCATAGCAAACTGAAATGGTAGTTTCCATCTGTATGCGCTTCTTCTTCAGGGCATCTTATGTGCACATAATAACTACAGTATTTGCCTTGGATTACTCCATTGTATGCACACAGAAGTTTCTAATAAATGTGATCATTCTTTTTCTAGTATACTTACTAAATATAACTCTTCCCTGAATTATTTGAAGCTTATTCAGTAATAAGTCAGACATATATATTAGGATGGAAATTATGTTAAGGTCGTACATGGTTCTTATGGTATGTGTAACAGAATAATCAGATACAATGAAAAGTAAGTCTTGCCAAAATTCTCCTATGGGAGATTTGGAGTCATAAAATATGACATAAATGCTGTATTTTCCACAGTGTCTAAGCAGTTCCCTAAGAATAAAGCTGATATGATCATGTTGAGCGTACATGTGTATGTCTTGTCTCTTCTTTCCCATCTCCCCGGGTGGATAATCTGCTTTCCAAGACCCTGTAAACCAGGAAACTGAATTAAGCTGTCTTTGCTTGTCCACAGTAATACTGAAGCTTTTAAGAAAGTGCTGAATTTGCTGTGCATTCTCAGAACATAGATTGTGGACACGCTCGGTATACCTACTGGTAATTTTGGTATACTGAGAAGTGTAGAATCATGGGCATGTGAAGGAAAAGTGGTTTTCCGGTATTGATCATATGCCAACCAACTCTTTTTATTATTTTAGCTCTGGATCTTGTGAAGAAACTCTTAGTAGTGGATCCAAGCAAACGTCTTACAACAGAGGAAGCCTTAGAGCATCCTTGGCTTCAGGTAGGACTTGAGTCTTAACTGAAATATAGCAAAGCTGTGTCGTTCTGGGGATAACTTGATATAAATTCAAAGGCAGTTCAATAGCCTGAATGTTATGAGGTTGTGTCAATACAGTGGAATTTGCTTCTGCAAGGAAGCAGGGGAACACTGACTGCTCTGGCCACCAGAGGTGGAATGCATGCCTGATCCTGCTCCTCTGGAGAGTACCACAAAAGGGATACAGTGATGGGCAATGAGAGCTTCACTTCTTTAGCTTCATGGGAATAGCAGCTGTTGCCTTAAATCAGAGTTTAAGTCTGCCTGTCCCTAGGTTGTCTCTGACAGCAGCCAGCTGAAGAGCAAGTGTGCTTTGCTCCTCAGGGGCACGCACGGCTGCCTGCCTGTCAGCTGGCTATATGGTTTCTGCTGGCTGCTGTAAGACGGGAAAAATGCTGCTGCCTCCTTACAGAAAGAGAGGAGGAAAAGGCCGTATCTTTAGGAATTGTTTGTTTGTTTTACTGACACTGTCAGTGACATAGTAGGAAGTTCATCAGAGCCCAACCTCTGGAATGACATTAGTCCAGATACTGTAGCCACCGCTCTCGTGGTGGACAACTCTAAACCAGAGTGAGCATCTTGAACCAGGCTGCTTCCACGTCTCTCTGTTGGGAGCAAGGTGATACTGCAGCACCTTCTGGTGTGTCAAAGCCTTTGTGGGATGGGCCTTTCTTTTTCTTGCAGCATTCAGAAGAGAGTTGATTCTTTGTTCTCCCAAAAAACAAATGCTGTCTCTGCAGCACAGATTTTCTTCTTTTTCTCTTCTCCTTGTGTTTTCCTCTTGTAGTGGCAACTAGACGCCCTGTTGTTTTTCAGTGTGTTTATTTTCTTGACCCTTGTCCCTGGCAAAGCCTTTGTTAGCTCTTACCACTTCCTATTGCTGCTTTTACAACATGGTATGTTTTCTCAGTTCTTCAGTTTCATGGTTCTTTTCAACTGTTGTTGCTACTATTTGTGGTCTTGTCGCCTTGTCTGATGCTGTTCTATGCCTTTTTGCACTGTAAACACAGCTTTGCTTGATTTCCCTTTTAATTTGACTTCTCCTTTGCCATCCACCTTGTCGTGAGGTCTCCATAGGTAGGTTTTAACCTTCCCGCATCGCACACTCTTGTGCCGAAAAGAAAAAGGAATCAGTAATGTCTTCTTCTCTTCTTCAAAGTGGCCATGCTATCCTAAGTTTTAGGTCTGCCTTTCTGCTATCTGGCTAATGTATTGTCTTTGTGGCTTATCTGCAGCTCACATGACTTTGTATACCCTCTCTGCACAGGCTAAGGGCATTTCTCAGCCTTTGCCAATTTGATCACCTCCTGAGGCACAGCCTGACCCATCCTAGAATGTCTTATTGCGAGCTGTGTCAGGACCACAGGCAATAGCCGTAAGAACTTGTGCAGAAGAGCTTTTTCTTCTCTTGGTCTCATGATCTTTATCACATCATCATGTAATAAAGGTGACTGAAAGCAGCTTAGGTCCTCGCTAAGTAATGTAATTCTCTCAGACTAAATCTGCAATATCTCATGGTTGATGCATCATCAGTAATCTGTATTCAGATCAGGGAGAAGGACTCGGATCCTATCATTTGTCCACCTGTCCAGCTGGAAGAAGGCATTTCACAGTTTATGTGTTCGCTATTCTCTGGTTATCCCATGGATGTCTTACTCTGGATCGTGTTTTATATGCATTGTAGAGTACTGAAGAGTTGTGTCAAGCTAAATTAGGTCCGGTTACAGCCTATCACCTTTAGCTGAGTAGTGTGTCAGGAGTCCCGCAGTCCTGTCATCTCTGGCCTTTCCATCAAAACAGCGGTGTTTTCTTTCTGGGAGGAAGATAAAACTGATCTTGATATTAAGAGAATCAGACTTCAGTGGTCCTAATGGTAGAAACCAATCTCCTCAGGAACACTTGGAATAGGTAGAGCTTGCAAATATGTGCCTGAGCCAACACCGTGGATTAGGGGTTGAGCACAACTAATAGCTACAGTTCTTTCTACTCTGTGCCGTGCCATTCAGCAACTTGCAAGTCTG